GTCTCTTTGCAAGCAAAATTTGGTTATTTTCATGAAAATATAAATTGAATTATGTGTTGATCTGAATAAACCATCATCACTAGAGTAAAACAGTAAAAGTGGCATCCATGGAAAAGCAACCATGTTACTGCCCTCCAAGAGAAACTGATTTTTTAAAAATTTCTCAAATACATTGATTTACACCATTCGATGTATTTCTCTTTACGTGAACTTATAATTATAATACACACACATGCTCGCACCCCTAAACAAACACAACGTGGAGAAATCACAGTTTTTACCAAAGCCCAAGAGCATGACTCACGACCCTCTTATTCACTTTTCTAGAAGCGTCTCTGCGAAGATACCTTATTTGTTAAATTGAAACTTTATGATGCAAAATCACCACTTTTAAAAAAGATTTTAACACTTTGAAGACTTCTGTAAACTAATCAATTACACCCAATAAAGAGATGAACGTAGCTTAGACGTTTTACCACATGATATCCTTAATCAGATATAAGGCTGTTAACAACCGTGCACTATATATCTCTCTGCTGTTTTTGAGCATATTTTACTTGTTACATAGCAAACACCACTCACCTCCTTCCTTCCGAGGACTGCCGCTAAATCGATCAAGGAACGCGTTTGAAATCAATGCGGTTGATGCTCTACAACCGTAAAATACTTCTGAAGCGTAGACCAGCCTGAAAGGGCCTCGTACCCATCAGCTGTTCAGCCAGTCGCCATGTGATAAACACATGGCAGCCGCATGAGTGCCCTACCAGAGAGGGCAACCTGCTCAGATTTATGACTATTCAAACCTTTACTGAAAGCAGCTTCTCTGTGAGACTAAAATGGCATACAGTACACCAGACAAAGGCTTGTTGGGGAAACAGGATAATTTAATCAGGCCCTGTCCACTCGGGGCAGGTTGGGGGTGGGGCAGCAGAGTCAGTGCGCCTGCACGGCGCCACCACACCACCGTGGCTGCAGTCTCACTGCCTCGGCGGCCACCCTGCACAAGGCCATGCCTTCAAACCTGTGGCTTCCGAGGAGCTGTTTGCCGGTTGCCTAGCTCATAGACCTGCGTGTGAGGGGTCTGTGACCTAGTCTGGAATGGGTTGAGGGGTCTGTGACCTAGTCTGGAATGGGTTGAGGGGTCTGGAGGCTCCAGACCCAGCCCGAGCTCGACAATTGGCCCAGTTGGTGCAGGATTACGGGCGGGTAAAAGAGCACGACAATCGGCTATGTCGGCAGGATTTCAACAAGAGCCCCAGCTTTACAACTGGCATCACGAACAGGATTAGAAGAGCTTTACAAAGCTCCATTCCAAAGTGCTACAAAAAAGAATTGTGTTTACAGAAGACATATACTAGTCAAATACATCTAGCATCATCTGGAAAACTTAATGGCATGCCATAACTTAGTGTCACAGTCACTATGTGTAACAGACCTCATAATTATTTTTCTAATAGTCAAGCCAAAAGCAAGGAAGTAAATGAAGCCGTATAAAATTGAAACAGAGAAAGACAAAAAGGATCACAAAACTATTTCTGAGTTTACTGAAATGACTTGAGAAATCAGTTCAACAACCCCTGGAATATTTTATTGTTGTTACTGTTGCTGTCATTACAAGCAAGTCCTAACTGTCACTAAAATGCCCTCATGACCCCTCAGGCCTTTGCTATTGTTCCAAAGCTCCCTGCCACTGAAACAAGGCTTAACGGAAAAACACAAAACGTGCAGAGAAGTCTTGAGCAAGCTCTCCACCGTGGGGAGGACAGCAGGATGGAAAGCAATGGTCCACTATCCCAGGGCACCTCCTGGGTGGTGACTCCCTCGCCTGAGTCCTGCCTGTCTTTCTCACCACAGCTGCAGAAGGACACACTGCACCTCCGACAGCGCTCACACACCCGCAGCTGCTCTGTGTCTTCACGAACACCAATGTCCTCTGAGGTGAAGGTTCCAGAATGCAAATCGGACCTAGGCCTCTCAGATGGGTTTGATTTCAATCAACATTAGTGCCAAAGGAACATCTTTGATATGCAAAACGTCTACACTATTGCATTAGTCCATTTCTGTTGCTGATAACAAAATACACAGAACTGGGTGATTTATAAGAAAACAAAATTTATTTCTTACAGTTTCAGAAGTCCAAGGTCCAGGGAACACAGCTGGTGAACGTCTTGGTGGTGGTGACAGTGATGGGAGGGTATCACATTGTGAAAATGTCAGAGACTAACCTCTCGTGCACTCTCCTTTTAAAGCCCTCAGAACCACGCCCCTGACCACAATTTTTAATCCATTCACTGCTGCAGGTCCTACAACCTAATCACCTCTTCAAGGCTCCATCTTTCAATTACCATAATAGGATTTCCAACCCTTTTAGCAGTCACAGTGGGGACTAAGTTTCTAATATATAAAACTTGGGGGACACAATTCAAATTCCAATGAGTTTTAGGGGGACATAGTTCAATCCACTACAACTATTGAGTAATAAAGAATTATTTTTTCTTACAAAAACTTTTCTTCAAGGAGGTTAAAGGAAACAGGGAATCTGTAAATGTTAATATATGTATTGTAAAGATGAAGAAAAGAGGGACAATAATTAAGGGAACCAAATGATCAGAAGAACTTGAAACCATAAAACCTTAGGGAAAGTCAGTATTTCATGGTTTTTAATAAAGCAAGGCTATTATAATCCTCATATGGAAGTATTTTGAAAGTTTATAGCTAGAGAATTTAAAAGCATGGTTCATCAATAAATTTTCACATGGTGAACATGTTAGCAATATACTTTTTAAGTGGGAATTTTAAAATATCAAATAGAATTATGTACTAAGCTGAGGCACTTGGTTTTTCCATATTTTAAACCATATTACATTATACAATGAACTCACTTTAAGTTCATAAAAATCCATTCTGCATTATACATAATTTGTTCTTTTTTTTTTTTTTTTTTTTTTTTTTTTTTTTTTTTTTTTTTTTGTCCTTTTTGAGACCGGCTGCACCGCGCTCAGCCAGTGAGTGCTGTGAGTGCACCGGCCATCCCTATATAGCATCCGAACCCGCAGCGGGAGCGATGCTGCACTCCCAGCGCTGCACTCTCCCAAGTGTGCAACGGGCTCGGCCCTGCATTATACATAATTTGTTCTTTTTTTTTTTTTTTTTTTGTCCTTTTTGAGACCGGCTGCACCGCGCTCAGCCAGTGAGTGCTGTGAGTGCACCGGCCATCCCTATATAGCATCTGAACCCGCGGCGGGAGCGATGCTGCACTCCCAGCGCTGCACTCTCCCAAGTGTGCCACGGGCTCGGCCCTGCATTATACATAATTTGGTTAAAGGTTTGCCACTTTTAAATGTAGTTTAAGGCTTATGTGAGCATGCACAATTAAGTGAATAAACTTAGTTAAACAAACCACTGCGGTAAGAAAGCAGAATAAAGACACTCAGTTTTGTTTGTGGTGGCTCATTTTAACTGATGAGTATATGGTTCCTGCTAACAAGAGCAACTCCTGTCTATTTTTAAATAATGAATCATTTGCTCACAGGGGGTGTGCACCTGTATCTGGATATGTATGTGTGTGGAGAAGAAACAAAATAATTTTTGTGGCAACATTTTGTTTCCCATTCTTATTCTCCAAGGATTTTTTTTTTTTAATTAGCAGCAGAAGCAAATGTCAAGGAGATTTTAAACCAAACTATATGTGATGTTATGATGCTCTTACCAAGCCTTGACAACCTCCACAAACTCCAACATGTGCAATGAAGAGGAGGCACATTCACCCACTCCCTACAACACTAGGTTCTTGATAGCACCTAGATAAGATGAAAACATGTTAGCATCTGGAGAGAGCCTGGGACCTTCTTATCAGAGAAAATCACAAGTAAAATGGTTAATTTGAGCAGCAACTAAAAAGCTACATCCACTAATTCTATGCTGGGATCACTGAAATAAAATGGAAAAAAAAGTATACTCTGTCTTAAAATCTCTCAAGAAAGTACTCGTGACAAGTTTGATTAGTGATGTATCTGAATATGCCGTCCAACAACTAGAAAGAGTAATCCAGCCAACAAAGAAAAAAATATCCCAGCTGGGGCCAGAAAAAATGACCAGCCATACAAAACAGAAGGGCTGAAGTCCAAGCAGTCTTTCATTTTCATGTTTTTGTAGCTCTCCATGTCGGCCACTGCCTGGACCCAGATGAC